TGGATGAGGCACGTCGCTCATACTATTGTGGTTAAATCACGGATGCGAAATGCACTAACGCACATGCATTTACGGCTTCAGTTCAAAGCTTTCCGCGCTTGGCAGACTTTCATTTCGCTGCAAAAGTGGAAAAAACACGCAAGTATTCGCGTTTTCACGTTCCGGTTGAAACGTTTAAACACACGCTATTTTTTCGAATGGAAAGCAGTAGCCAAGCAACAAATCACCCAACGCCAAAAATTGGCTCACTACTTGAACATGATGCAGCATTCCGTTCAGAGGAAAAGCTTCAGTGCGTGGTTTTCGTTTATCTCTCGACGTAAGTTATTACGCGTTAAAGTATCGCAATCTTTGGCGATTCGTACGCAACTGTGTTCTCGCATGGTATTCCAAACATGGAGAGCGTTTGTGGATAAAATCCATCGCAACAGGTTAGCGCAAGGTTTTTTCGCCGCGAAATCTTCAGCACATGTTTTCAAGCTTTGGAAACAATACGGTGTGCTCTATAAGATAGAGCGTATGATTGGCTCTAACGAGTTACGGTTAGTGGAGTCAAAATTCTTATCATGGCGTAAAGCAGTAGCTGCGACGCACCGAATCCGAGAGTTCCGATCGAAATCTGCCAGGCGACAATGGTTACAACTTGTAAGAATGGTGTTCAACACGTGGAAAAAGCGGAGTCAAACCAACGCTCATTGTCGAAAGTTACTTGCTAGTGTGGCAGTGGGGAACCATCTGCGGTTCCGATTTATGTTATGGCAGCGGTTCACAACGCACCGTAAACGCCTGGAAAACCTGCTCTTGATAGTCGCAGATCCAACTACTGTACCCGTTGAGACTCAAGTTGTGAACCTTGAAAATGGCGACTTAAAGGATGATATTACGGTTAGAGACGAATTAGAGTACAACTCTAACCGGACTCTAACGGCCGACCAAAAACTCCTTATTTTAGGCCAAGCTTTAGCGCAGAAAGCTCGCGTTCTTCAGCGGTTCGAAGTGACGTGGGATCTGCCTCAAACGTGGCGTCGATGGAGACAGATTTTCCACGCTCAGCTCTTCTATCGCATGCGTCGACAGCAATTTTTCTTCATCAATTGGCAAAGATTTACGTACGATCAACGCAGAAATCGCTTCATCATTATCAAGTTAACAAATCAACGTCGAGCAGCCTCCATTCTCACCATTTTCCTTGCATGGGCCGAGCTTGTGGCTCGAGTTAAACAGCTGCAAAGAGACCGTCTACGGGAACGAGAGTTGTGGGTTCTAGTGACCACAGAGATGGCGCGACGAGAGCGACGACAACTCAAGAAACATTGGCACGCTTGGAGGTTCCATGTGGGGGAAACTCGCCATCTTCAGAAAAGTCTGGACGTGTATTATCGAGCTCGGTTGCTCACGAAGTTCTGGCTGCTGTGGAATCACGATTATCGTCAAATATTACGCGAAACTCGTCGAGAAACACAGAAGATTAGTGCTCATTTGCGGATATTTTACGTACGTCGAGCAGTCGGAAAGTTACGAAAGTATCAGCAGCGATCGAAGCGAGCTCGATTAGTACTGGAATACTTGGGGAATCGACGGTACGATACTTTACTTCCTGAGATTTGGACGAAGTGGAGAAGATGGAGCCAGCGACAGAAGGAAATGGCTTGGTGTCTTGATGCAGCACGTAAGAATAAAATACGCCGGTATTTTATTTTGTGGAAAATTTGGAAAAATACGCAAAAATGGCAGCGAGTTGTGGTAGATGGTTTTCGATGCAAGAATGTGGAGCAGCAACGACGTGAAGTCTGGGGACGGTGGAGAAAATATGTGAAGAAACGAGTTGCTAAGGACTTGGCGTTGCAAAAAGCAGCCATCTTCCACATGGGTACAAGACTTAGAAGATGGCTACATCACACTCGAAGTGCGATTCAAGCCAGTGAACAAGCTGAGACTGCAGCGATTCAGCTGTGTATCTGTCGTGGCCACCGCGCAGTGAGTCGTTGGCGACGTTTTAGTCGAACTCGACGTCTGCGTCGCCTCTATCAACGATTTGTTCTGCGAAAACACATACAGTTGTGGCATTCAGCGGTAAAATACACTGTAGCCATACGTTTTGACGAGTTTTTGCTACGTTGTAAGGCGAAGAAAATGCTTGAAGCTTGGCAGAAACTTACAACGAAGCATCAATACTGGCGGAAAGTTTGTGGGTCTTTTGTGGTGAAGAAGGAGATTCAAACCACTCGCAAAGTTTTCCTACGCTGGCAGCAACTGGTTAACACTCGACAAGGCAAACGACTAGCCGCAATGCACGCAGAGCAACACTTACTACAAAAGATTTGGCGGTATTGGATCCGCGTTACATTGGCTTGTCAGCTACGACGAGATGAACAACTGGAACGGGCTGCAGAGCACGAGATGGCTACATTGCTACGTCAAAGTTTAGGAGTGTGGCAAGCGGCTGTGAAGAAGCAACGTGAACGTCGCTTTGTCCTGCTCTCGTGTATTATCAAGCTCGAGTCAGTGGCTGGTCAACGTATACAGGAGATCGTCTT